AGATTCACTAAAATCGGATTTAATGAAATTAAAGCGAGTAACTTGTTCGTTAAAACTTGCAAAAACCTCATTTACGTATAGATCATCAGTACCTTTATGTTCTAAAACAGAGAATCTTAAGTCAATCTTTGCTGGAACAAATAAGTTATTGTGGCAGATCGGGGTTGCAAGAGGGAGGGTGAGCCAACCAAAGTGTCAAATTTTTAATGTTTCAGTAACAACTGGGTTGGAAGACCGGTTTAATAGGGATGATTGTGAGGTATCACATGCTAAAGCAAGTAATGACGAGGAACAGGAGGCTGCTTCACTCTGGCACCAATTAGTATAGGGAGACATACACCACAATAATGTATTATACGTGTTAGATGCCCAATAACACAGCTTTATTGCTGGAGGGAAACGGCGAAACAAACTGATAAGAAACTACACTGGGAAGCAATACACTAGCACACAGAGAAACAGACGGCCATGAATGAGGGAGAATGTGACACTGAACAGAGGGAGAGACAGACATAAATACACAGAGATTTAACGAGGGAGGTGGGAGCACATGGGGAACACAGCTGACACAGATAATCATAACGAGACAGGGCAGGAGCAACACAACATGACACATACTGACGGGAGACTGTCAAAGTAAAACAGGAAGTACACAGAGGCGCAGACAGGAGGAGAGAGGGAGCACGGGGAGAGCACAGACATAACGGGCTGGGGAAAACGTGGAATAAAACACGAGGGGAAACGAGGCTCACAGATACAAAGAGGGGCACACAGGGGGTAAAGTCACAAAGGGAAGTCAAATAAGGAACAAAATTCAAAAATACATGAAACTAAGAATGCTGGGCCAACATGGCCCAGGATCATGACACCTCCAGCTGATCTATCCCCATAAAGAAGCGAGCGAGCCCTTGGACGTTTACCGGCCCAAATAAATGATGAAATAGTGTCATTTATAGTTCTGAAATAATTAGACAGACAAATGGGCAAACTTTGAAATACATATAGATATCTAGGTAATGCATTCATTTTAACATGCATTAACGTCTAAGGTGCACCATCAACACTAAACACAAACATGAAAGCAATGTTATGTGATTTGATTATTTTCATTTTATGTGCACATCAAAATGTGTGTAAATGTGTTGCTAAGCAACCAGGAGTGCCACAGTTGTTTTACATTGATTTCTACACGGTGAAAATATCTCCTGTGGTAATTCTAGATTGAAATGGTCATAGTTTATTTTTCCCACACATCCCCAAATTCTCTATATGGTGATAGGAGAAGCTGTGTTACTGTTGTGGATTTTTATGACATATATATCATACACTGGACATATATTCACATGTACACTATGCAATCATATATATACACAGATTCTCTCTCTCTCTCTCTCTCTCTCTCTCTCTCTCTCTCTCTCTCTATATATATATATATATATATATATATATATATATATATATATATATATATAAATAAAACACCCAGCACGCCCCTGCGGGCGGTTTATCCTTCAAGCTCGGGTCCTCTACCAGAGGCCTGGGAGCTTGAGGGTCCTGCGCAGTATCTTTGCTGTTCCCAGGACTGCGCTCTTCTGGACAGAGATCTCCGATGTTGTTCCCGGGATCTGCTGGAGCCACTCGCCTAGCTTGGGAGTCACCGCACCTAGTGCTCCGATTACCACGGGGACCACCGTTACCTTCACCCTCCACATCCTCTCGAGCTCTTCTCTGAGCCCTTGGTATTTCTCCAGCTTCTCGTGTTCCTTCTTCCTGATATTGCTGTCATTCGGAACCGCTACATCGATCACTACGGCCGTCTTCTTCTGTTTGTCTACCACCACTATGTCCGGTTGGTTAGCCACCACCATTTTGTCCGTCTGTAGTCAACTGAAAGATTTTCTAGATGATAATGGCATCCAAATTTATTTGCCCCTGAAGCAGAAGGGTGGCATCTCCATAAAACCTCTCACAACATGCCTAGATGACATTAAAGCTTGGTTGGCTCTAAACTTTTTAAATTTTAATGAAAAGAAAACAGAGTTGTTGGTGTTTGGACCCAGTGGTCCCTGCGAGTCCTCCTCTGTAGATTTGTGACCCCTGGAAGTTTATCTTAAACCTGTTGTTACTGATCTTGGTTTTAAGTTGGATGGTGATTTTAAATTGGACAACCAAATCAGAGCAGTGGTGAAGTCCAGTTTTTATCATTTAAGGCGACTGGCAAGAGTAAAATCTTTTCTTTCAAGGCAGCACCTTGAAACAGTGATCCATGCTTTTATTTCTTCGCGCCTGGACTACTGTAACGCACTTTACGTGGGGGTCAGTCAGTCATTGCTCTCAAGTCTGCAGCTGGTTCAAAACGCTGCTTCATGACTCCTAACAGGAACTTTTAAAATAGAGCATATAACCCCTGTCCCAGCCTCACTGCACTGGCTCCCTGTGTCTTTTAGAGTTAATTTTAAAATTCTTATGTTCAGTCTTGCCCCGCCTTATCTCTCTGAGCTTCTTCATCTCCACACACCCTATCGGTCTCCCAGGTCAGCTGCCCCTGGAGGTACTGAGATCCAGGAGGAAGCTCAGAGGGGAGCGGGCCTTCTTTATCGTGGCTCCAAAATGATGGAATAATTTGCCCTTGCACGTTAGAGAGGCCCCTTCACTGTCCAATTTTAAATTGCGTCTGAAAACCCACTTTTATTCTTTGGCCTTTAACGTCAGTGAGACTTAATTTCCCCTTGAAATTAAATTATCGTACTTTCCGGACTACAAAGCGCACCTGAATATTAGCCGCACAAGCTAAAATCAGGGGAAAATCCTGTTTTGTACCTACATCAGCCGCACCTGACTAAAAGCCGCAGGTGCTTTAATGTTTACTTACCATATGTAAGAGAATATGCACAAAGGGGATTGTCAGGAAAGAGATGGCTGTTTGGGAACACATCCCTTGTATTAATATTTTGAAAAACAAGTTACCGGTACATATTTGCACAACTTTTTACATATATGTACAAGTACCGGTAATTACAAGAACGAAACATGTACTCTGCTTTATAAACGAGTAACAAATGTAGTTGACAAGACTTCACTCCTGCTGATCTGCCAGATCATTCTGTTCAAAGTATCTGGCAACAAGACAGATGATCAGGTTGAGGGCGGGCAGTTTATCATCTTCCTGGCTGTCCAGCGTGCTGCGGAGCTGGGCGCACCTCCGTGCAAGCTGTCTGATGGATGAGTGAGCTTGACGCTACATGACGATTCGCAGCTCCGGGACTGACTCGTTGATGGATTTGTGAGGCAGGACGTTGGCACCGTTCAGGTAAAGCTCGTCATTGACGATCACGTCCTCCCCAGCACCGTCACATTCTCCATACGCACCCACTGGCCGACTGACGAGCTCCACCCCACGATGCAGCTCTCCAGCCACGAGTGCGATCGAACCCTTGACCCTTTCAGCACCGTGCACCTCTTTATCCTCACGCCATCCTCCACAACAACGCCGGCGCCGATGGTGCAGTTCTCCCCGATCTGTGCTGTGGGATCAACCAAGACGTTGCCGAGGAAACCGGGGCCTGTGCGTAATCTCTCAGGTGCGTGTTGTCGTACTGACTGGAGGTACATACACATCCCTGTCAGGAAGTCTTTAGGCTGGCCGATGTCCATCCAGAAACCTTGCAGCTCCATGGCATACAGCTGTCCCTCCCCTGCCATGAAGGGAAATATTTCTTTTTCAATGGATGTTGGTCTCAGCTGGATCCTGCTGAGCATGCTCGGATTGAAGATGTACATGCCGGCATTAATTTTGTTGGAGACAAAGACCTGTGGTTTCTCCACAAAGCGATGGATCCTCCCGCTGTCCGCCTCATACACCACCACACCGTACTTAGAGGGCTCTTCCACCCATGTTACCACAATGGTTCCCTCCTTGCCGTGGTTGCGGTGGAACTGCAGCAGATCTTTGAACGGAAAATCACAGATGACGTCGTGAGTTGAAAACGAAGAACGGCTCACTGTCATCATTCAGAAAACAAAAAAAAACATATACAGAATGCACTACAAGGACAGAAGCTATGACTTGTCTGAAGACCTGACAGGAAACACTGCTTTACTCCCTGCACAATTAAATCATCCACCTCTGTATGCACAACCCAGATGTGACTGCTGCAGTAAATCTTGGGCATCTCTGTTTAGTCTCCTTGGTTTCTGTCCCATCTTGGATTCAGTCTGAATCTCCCGCCTCTGCTCCAATGGCTCCGGCCAACTCCTCTTCATGGCAACGCAGACAATCACAGATGAGTTCAGCAATGGCTCTCTGTGTTCTCCTCTCCAACTTCTCCAGTTTCTTTGCCATATCGCGCTTTAGATCCCAGTCTGGTTTTCTTGGGGCAAGATTGGCTAAATCCACTTCCTCAATGATGGGCTCTGGATTATAATTTACTTTATCTTCCACTGATGCTGGATTGGCCTTAGGCACCGGTATTTCCTTTAGCTCTTCATCCTCTGGAGCGTAATTCCTCAATGTCAGTTCTCTGTGTTCCTCTTGAGTGGCCTCTTCTAATATGGCTTTTTTGCTCTCTGGCTCACAATCGTCCTGCTCTCGCCCATGAAGCTGTTTCTCTCTTAGCGCCTTTAGCCTCTCCTTCCTCTTTAGAGCCTGCTCCTGCCGAGTCTTGCCGCGTCCACTCATTTTAACAAGTTCTTTTCTTCGTAGTATCGAGACTAAGAGAAAATGTGGTCCGATCAGCTCAAAGCCTCGCTTATATTTCTGCAGGGCGCGGGCGGATTCGTCACGCACCAATCGCAGAGAGGCTTGCGGCAGCGCGCAAATTCAATGCACTTTTCTCCAATGAGCAGCACACACCGAGGCGGGGCGATGCTACACGTGGAGCCCGTCACCAATCACGAGCCGGAGCGGCACCGCGTCACAGCCAGTCACACACTTTAAGAGCAGCGAGTCTCCTCTGTTCGCTACATTTTCTGCTCTTGTCACAGGGGGGAAGTGAGGAAGAATGGCACGAACCAAGCAGACTGCTCGCAAGTCTACTGGCGGTAAAGCCCCCAGGAAGCAGCTGGCTACCAAGGCCGTCCGTAAGAGCGCCCCGGCCACCGGAGGCGTCAAGAAGCCCCACCGTTATAGGCCTGGTACCGTGGCTCTGCGAGAGATCCGCCATTACCAGAAATCCACCGAGCTGCTGATCCGCAAGCTGCCCTTCCAGCGCCTGGTCCGCGAGATCGCTCAGGACTTCAAGACCGACCTGCGCTTCCAGAGACATCCAGCTGGCTCGCTGCATCCGCGGAGAGAGAGCTTAAACTGCACGCTCTCCTACCAACAACGGCTCTTTTCAGAGCCACCTCACTCACACCAAGAGCTCGCTCCTTTATTCTTATTCTTAGTATAGTTCTTAAATCTTATGCTCACACTTCAATCTTCATGCTGTTTCTATTCCTGAAATTACAGTTGCCATCAACATGGAATTCACTGACTTCAGTTACGAAATTTATATTTATTAAAGTATTTTTCAAAGAAACCTGTTAGTCACTTGAACTCAAGTTCACTCATAAAATGTGTCCTTCATAATAACGTTACAGGCTATGCTAGGCTTTGGCCCACATCAGTCTGAAATTGTATGTAACCATAAATAACGTGTTTTGGAAACTAACTGCACAACAGGCAGCACTATTAGTTCTCTCAGTCTCCCACAGTAGCATTTCCAATTTTGATTGAAACTGTCAGAGAAAACGGCAGCCTCGAGCAGGCCAGGATATTAGTTTACAGAGGCTGTTAAAAGTATGTGTCTAACGTTAAAATGCCACAATAATTTCATCCTAATGGTGCTGACATATTCATAGGGTTAATTTTTGAGACAAAATATCATGAGGTAGTCATGATTTTGCAAATATTCCACCTTGGAGTGCACTTTGCACAAATTGTTTTAATAATGGTGTAGTGGTGGAGTAATGGTGACACAAGATCACAGGTGAAGTTGGATGATGACTTGGTGGTTCATGACTGTATTTGAAGCACATGTGTGACTGTATGTATGTGGAATGGCTCACTGTTATTCATCAGGTGACAGAGGCAGCTCTGCCATGTTGTAGCTCGGACAGAGGTGAAGAGGCGAGGTCACAGGTGACTGACTGATGATTTGGTGCTATAGATTAACTAGTATTTATTATCATGACAATTGTTAGGCTGCTGATGTAAATTGTTTCATTAGTGTATATTTGACAAAGAATCTGAATTGACATGTCTCACTTTTTATATGGCACAAATCCATGTGTTATTTTATCAGGTAGCAATATGTCCTAGTGCAGTCAGAGGGGAAGAGCCAGGCCCAAAGGTGAGGCACATCAAGCACACAATAATTTTAATCTGAGGATAAAACGCATGTACTGAGGCTGAAAGAAGCTTCAGTGCTCTCACAAGACTAAAAAGATGGCTAAGGTCAACAATGACTCAAATGAGATTAAACAATCCTGATGTATGCCATGTCCACCAGGAGAGACTGGACAGTATAGATGTAAAACAAATATGCCAGCAGTTTATCTCAGTTAACAAGAGGAGCAGGCATGTGTTTGGCTCCTTCACATGCACATTGAGTTGTTGTGTGGGACACCAGTAGTCCATGTCTTTTGCTGTAACAGTAGTTCATGTTGAGAATAAAACATCCCAGCTCACTGATTTGATTGGGGCAATATTGTGCCTAAAATGTTGCATCGTTTTGCCGAGAGATCTTTTGTGGTAATCGTAGCTAAGTGGTTTTATGGACAAAAACCACCAGGTTATTCAGTGTTCCCTTAGTGCTAATGTGTTAGAGATGTTGGTGCACTATAACTGAAGTAATGTTGTTAAGTCCTTAAAGTCATATTCTTTTATTGTCATGACTGTATTTGAAGCTATTTTTATTTTTATATGATACCTGATTGATATGGAATATGGCTGAAGTAAACTAAAGCCTAAAATACTTAGTCAGTCATTTGTTTAATAGTAATTTAACATTATATAATTCACATATAAAACTATGAACTGTAATTTTAAATGATTTAAAAGCATGAAGAATAGCATATGTAGGCAAGTATATTTCTCCTTTTTTTTTTTTTCTCAAGAAGCGACAAAAAGGAAAAAAGGAACAGGGCAGGGTTCAGTGGTTGAATCATCCGTCCCCACCAATGCCAAAACCAAATCTACGCCCTGCTATGTGTTGTAACCAATGACTATGATGTAACTGTACAAAGTGTGTCAGTCTTGTCAGCCCACTAGCCCAGACACCGACCAAACCCCTACCCCAGGTTTAGCTGGTTTCAGCTTCATGTTTGTTTTCTTTTTTGTCCCTGTCAAGTTTGTGCATCTTAGTCTCTGTCTCAGTGTTTGTTTCCTGTTTTATTTCTGTCTTATTTTGGCCCTTTGTGCATTTAAACCCTTAGTTGGGAATAAATGTGGATTTTCTGCTTCAGAAGATAAAGGTCAGTTTTGCGATTTATGAAGTTTGCCCTTTAATCTGGATTTTGGCTCAGCTTCCAGCTACACTGTGACATAACTATGGCAATGATGAGATACAGATCTCCAGTGAAGGTGTCACCATGATGAGCAAAGCAAGGCTTCATGAAAGATTTGAAGTGTTTGTGCTTGTATTGACGATTCAAAACAATCTGAAACCATCTCCACAGTGGCACCTGCTGGACAATTTGGCTATTGTCATCTCTTGATCATATTCTCTGAAATGGTGACACAGACAAGTTCTGCACAACTCCAAACAAAACCACTTATCATACCAGACCATCCATAACTCTGATCATCACATTTTGGAGAAATCCTCAAAGAAACAAGGCACCTTGCCTTTTATTGGATAGTAATAGTGAAAATGAAGAGTAAAGTGCAGAGGAAGAGGGAGACGGGGAAGACATGCAGCAAAGGGCCGCAGGTTGGACTCGAACTCAATCCGCTGTTTTCCACTGAGCTAAACTGGCCCCCGTGTTTGGTTGACTTTTAGGTTTTCTAGCACTTCTAGTTTTACTAAACTGAAAAGTAACTGAAAACGGCTAAATCACCAAAACACACACTTCACAGAGGAGGAGCAAGCAGCCACCAGACAAAGCTCACCAAGGTGGAGAGTTGACAGGACACACCCACACAAGGTCATTAAAAATTCCCCTCTCGCCCCTGCGGGCGGTCTATCGTTTAAGGTCCTCTACCAGAGGCCTGGGAGCTTGAGGGTCCTGCGCAGTATCTTAGCTGTTCCTAGGGCTGTGCTCTTCTAGAAAGATCTCAGATGTTGATCCTGGGATCTGCTGGAGCCACTCGTCTAGCTTGGGAGTCACTGCACAAAGCACTCTGATCACGCGCTGGGCTGTTCAAATCACGGACAAACAGTATCCCACATTCTTGATTTTTAGTTCACAAACACTTGTTGTAATGACTAACTACTCCTGACATTTTGGAGATGTTAGCTCTTTATACAGTGAAGTTACAGCGGGATACAAATAACATCAGGCTGATCCTGCCACAATTTGTTCCCCGGTTCAAATCACGGACAAACAGGATCCCACAGCCGTTTATGTTTTTGAACCCATTTTGCACAGAGAGGCATTTTTTGAAAAATGTATTGATAGCAATGTTGAATATTATTACACAGGGGAAAAACAACTACATGTAAAATAATCACACTGTGATGCCTCTGCCTTTCTAAATGGAGGGACAGGAACTGCGTGTGTATATGTAAGCTGTAAAACCTGAAGATAGTCAGAGGAACAGTATTTTGTCTCTATCTGCCATTCTGCAATTCATCTCATGTAAACAATAACGTGGCGCACAGCGTGACGTGAAAAAAGGCACATCCCTTTGATGTTGCATGATAAACTCTGTATTCATCGTCCATGCATAAATGGTTGGAGGATGCGTTTGTGCGTGTGTGTGCGTGGGGGGGGTTCTTAATGAATTTTGAAGCCTCCTCAGGTGAAGAAAATCTGTGCCTTGCTCCATTATGTTTTATTTCTAGAGTGGCAGGGTAGAGCAGGGAGTATTCCACTCCTCTTTCCCTCAACTCCAACTTGATTTGTTTAAAGGACACACGCCGGTCCATGGTTAGTCGGGAGTAATCCGAAAAAAAAACATTATCTTCGCCCCACGCCATAGAATCTGGCCTTTCTCTCTGGCCACCCGAAGAATGCATTCTTAAGCACATAATTGAGAGAGCTGATCTAGATACAATATTGATGTCGAGCTTGTAGTTTTGGGGTCCCATGTTGGCTGAGAGAGTCCTGTGCCTCTACCTAGTCCACAAATAGAAAAAAAAAATCTCTGGTGTTTGTTCACTGAGTCCTGAAAAATCTGTGGAGGGTCTCGTAGGCTGACAGATGTTGAGGTTTCCTTTTACTATGAAAAATAAACTGAGACCTGCTTTACAGTTAGGGTTTCCAGAGAGGATCTGCACACTCTGATACAGACATGCTCTGTTGAATAAGGGGTGACACCTTGCAGTGTGGTCAGAGTCAAAGACCAGCCATCGGTGATAAATGTCTGCTAACAGAATAGTTCTGGTGACTAACTTTGCTTCTGCAGATTTGTTGTTTGTTTGTATTGTTTGCTGCCCTGATTGGGGAGTCTCTTCTAACTGAGCTGGTCACACACTAAACCAACACATCACATAATGATGGTGACTGTGAAGTTCACCATGCAAGAAACGACAGAGTTTATATGTTCATACACAAATTTGTAGTAACCAAATCAGTTTACAATTAAATGTTTTAATTTTTTCTAACAGAAAATAAATGCAATAAGTTAAAAAGCCATAAATATTTCTTTATTCCACTAATCTGATCAGACACGTTGGTGAAGAATTACAGAATTTCCCCATGTTGTTCTTTACGTGTGAAAACACTGCACTGAAACTGATGGGAAATACAAAAGGTTTCTTCGACCTGATAGTAAAGTGTCAGACACAACAGTGTCTATGAATTCTAACACTGAAATGACATCAGGAGCTCACAAAGCTTTTAAATTAGAGTAACACTTAAGGTCAGTGGATTAGATTGAGGAGAGGAAATAATTCCACTGATCTCTGTTAGTTTCTGATCTTTCTTCTTTTTAAACTTTTTGAAAGTAGATGGTGCAAACAAACTGTATCAGGCCTACCTCATAAGAATAAGAACATGTTACCTAATTATAGCCTTACTAGATCTCGTATTGTCCTTTTAAAGCCACACTTACAAACACAAAGTAAAAGAAGGTGAAGGAATTTATAAAAACAGAATTACAGATAAACTACTTACTGTTTTGGGCTCTTTGTCCTTCCCCTGGATGATAGGTTTGTGCTAGTGAAGCATGAATCTCTCTGGGGACTTTGTGTTTGAGTAAAAATTTGCCTGTTGTTCTTATGAACCCTGTGTCACATGTGTTTAG